TCATTTGTATCCCTAATTATATGTAACTTTATAACATCTACTATATTTTTTAAAATTTTTTTTGTTTGTTAAAAATTAATGCTTACTGCTTTATTTTTAAAATTAATGTAATATTTTTTTTATTAATTTAATTTGATTTTCATTAGCATAATAATTTAATTTGATTTTTACTAGCATTTTCTAATTTTGAAATAGTACTGATGAAAACACAAAGAAATTAGATATTGAAAAAGCCTCATAACGAGTGAAGTAATACAGCATGAAACTCCAAAATCATGGTTGAGATTCTCTGAAAAAACATGTTACAAATCTATTTTTATTTAAAACCAAGAATTATCTCCTCGTCAAATAGCCAATAAGTTAAATATTGAATATTCACATATTTGGAAACCTTATACTGAAACAGATGACATTATGGATCTGGATAATCTGGTGGGGCAACACAATGAGATAAACGTTTTTAATTAATAAAATTAATTTGCTTGATGAAACGCAACAGCAAGTGGTGAAATGTTATATTCTCAGACAAAATGAATGTTGAGGTAGATATGCAAAAATATGTTATTGCTTCGTGTTCTGCTATGGCGATCACCTCAAGAGTAATTTGATTTGTATTGTACATGAAAACCAACCAAGCAAGGTAATGGCAGTGTAGACTTTTGGGCCTACATGAATTATGCAGGACTTAAATGCTATTAATTATTTGAAGGTTGACTTAATGCTGATAGAAACATTGAAATTTTAGATAATTGCCTTCTTCAATCCTTATTTAAGAAAGGTGGATCTGCAAAATATTGAAATGCTTTTTTTATGGTTTTTCTTTGGTAAATTATTGTTTTAATATATTATTTGAAATATATACTTAACTTTAGTCCGATTATTTTTTTAAATTAAGATAAAATGTTTAATTATTATTATTTTTTTTGGTATCTAAATCAATATGTTTAGATCTTTTTTTGGATTTTCATAATGCATATAGATTTTACTTGTATTAAAAAAATAAAAATAAAAGCATTTTAGTTTTCGATTTAGTTGATTTTGAATTTAATGTTTTTTAAAAAAATCGTGACAAAAACAATGTGTGCTCTAATATATATATATATATATATATATATATATATATATATATATATATATATATATATATATATATATATATATATATATATATATATATATATATATATATATATATATATATATATATATATATATTAGGCCCCTGCTAAGCCTAAATATTTTGAATCAAATCAAATAAGTGATTCAAGACTTGACTCAAAAAATCTCTATTTATTTGAATCAAATCAACTTGCTTTTATTAATAGTTTATAATGAAATTAGCTCAAGGTCATATCATTATAAATTTTCAGAATCTTGAGTAATGACATTATTAGAATGTTATTACTCTAATAACATAAAGTTGTCTTAGAAATTTCAAGATACATTAAAATTTTTTTTTTTCAACTAAATTTAATTATGGTCATGCTTTGGTCAATTCTAAATGTTTTGCAAAAAATTTCATGAATTGTTAACAAAAATTCCTCTACAAGCTAACTGCCTCTGCCAAAACATGATGACAATGACTTGATAAAATGCTTAGTTTCTCTATCTAATACTAAATAAACCTTCAGTTTTTCAATTTAATTTATTTGTATTATTGTGCCTAAAAGTTATGACCATATAAAATTAACAGCCCCCTCGATTTGATCAAACTTTGCTCATTTAAATACTAAAAAAATATTATAAGGTATTTTATTAATTATTTTAGCAAAAAATAGTTAAAAATATTTATTGCTAAAATAATTAATAAAATACCTTATAATATTTTTTTAGTATTTAAAAAAACTTTTAAAATTCAAATGTATTAAAATATGAAATTATTTTAACAAAAACAAAAAGTAAATATATTAAAAATTGTATGTTAGGCCGACTTCCATGGGTCTAACATACATATGTATTGAAATTTATAAATATATATGTATATATATATATATATATATATATATATATATATATATATATATATATATATATATATATATATATATATATAATATGTATATATATGTATATATATATGTATATATATATATATATATATATATATATATATATATATATATATATATATATATATATATATATATATATATATATGTATGTATATATATATATATATTTTTTTTTAGTTATGACTAGGAGTGTTTAAACTATTTATTTATAGAATGTAGAAATTTGTTTTGTTTTTTATTTGTTTATCTCTCCATTGACTTTTTAACCACAATAACTGCATATACCTATATTGCATCCATGCATATATTACATACATATTTAAATATGTATGTAATATATGCTAAAATAATTAATAAAATATACATACATCTATTATGTATGTATGTATTAATAAAAACAATCATGCCTGCCTGTCAAAGACAAAATGTGTTTTTGTTAATTTTAATAAATTAGCAAAAATACATCTAATTTTGTCTCTGTTATAGCACTCTATTTTTAAAATACACTAACATATTTTATATATATATATATATATATATATATATATATATATATATATATATATATATATATATATATATATATATATATATATAAAAGATATGTTAGTGTATTTTAAAATATACTATTGTTAATATATTTTTACATCTAAATATATTTTAAAATGGTTATACGCTATCTTTTTATTATAATCAACTTTTACATATATATATATATATATATATATATATATATATATATATATATATATATATATATATATATATATATATATATATATATATATATATATATATATATATATATATATATATATATATATATATATATATATATATATATATATATATATATATATGTATATGTATATGTATATATATACTCACATCAATGTAATTATGTATTGTGATTATAGGGTAGCCTAGCAACAGCTTACTAAAAGTTAATGTTAAAAAAATATCTTTTAATCTTGAAAAAAAATTGAATACTAATATCAGTAAACATTCTAAGAAAGATCAACAGTTCATCTATCTGAAAAAGTTAAAATTTAAAAATTTCTACGCTCAAAATTTTTTTATTTAATTTGAAACATTTAATTTGAAACATTTTATCGTGTACTAGAAGTTACTTTTATTATAATTTCCTTTTAATAAACGGCTAAATGCATATTTAATTGCTAAAAATTAGAAAAATAGCTCGTTGTCAATGAGAATTTTTTTTATATTCGTTATCCGTAGCCATTTTTAAAACTTTTAAAAAATGCAAACTTTACTGCGCTTGCGTACAATAACTTTCCACTTATTTAGTAAGTCTGAACGACCGTGGGGGCAGTTTCTGGTATTTTAAAGGTGGATAAAAAAGTGTCCATTTAGTTTTTTCTATATTTAAAGACAATCTATTTTGTTTAAACCAAACAGAAACTTTTTTTAATTCATTTGTCATATTTGTAAAAAGCATATTAATATCTTTATGAGACAAAAACAAATTTGTGTCATCTGCAAAATTTATTGTTGTTAAATTTGATGATTTATGAAGATCATTTATGTATATTAAAAAAATAAGAGGACCAAATATGGATCCTTGTGGAACACCACATGTTATATTCATTAATAGATGAGATATAGAATCTTTATTGTAAACAAACTGTTTACGGTTAGTAAGATAACTTTCAAACCATAAAAGGGTTTTATCTTTAATACCATATGATATTAGTTTTTTTAACAGGATTTGATGATTGACGGTATCAAATGCCTTGGACAAATCAATAAACACTCCTAGTGTAAAACAAGAGTCTTTAAATGAGTCGGTTATATTGCGCGTAAGTTGAAGAATGGCATGCTCGGTTGAATTATTTTTTTTGAAACCAAATTGGTTTTCGTATAGAATTTTATTTTCAACAAGATAAGAGTAGATTCGGTTGTACATTATTCTTTCTAAAATTTTTGAAAAAACTGGAAGAACTGAAATAGGGCGATAATTTGTTATATTTGTACGATCCCCTGTCTTGAAGATTGGAGTTACTTTCGCTATCTTTAGTTTATCTGGAAAAGACCCTTGTGAAATGGATGCTCTGAAGTTTTTATAAAGAATATCTTTTATAACATCGTATGAATCAATCACAATATTTGTGTTAATATCATCATACCCAGTAGCTTTATTTAGTTTTAATGACTTAAAAGCAACCTCAAATTCATTTAAAGCTAACACAGTAAAATTTAGATTTAGACTTATTGATGTTTCGAACTCGTCAACAGATTTATCTTTAATGAATGAAATACTATCGCTTAGTTTTGTCCCGACAGTGGAGAAAAACTTGTTAAATTCAAATGCAATATCATTTGGGTCATTTATTAATTTGTTTTCAATTTGTATAAAATTTGGGAGTAAATTTTTATTTGGTTTAAGTTTTCCAGATACCTCCTTCATGATTTGCCAGACGCGTTTTGAGTTGTGCTTATATTTATTAAGCAAGTTTGAATAGGAATTTTTTTTTTGCATTTTTGCGAAGCTTTTCAAATAAGTTTATATAAGTTTTATAATTTTGTTTATGTTTTTCTGATTTTGATTTTAGGTATTTAATGTATAGCTTCTGCTTAATTTTTGATGATTTTCTGATACCTTTAGTAATCCAGGGAGATGACATTTCTTTATCGCTTAAAACTATTTCAATTAAAGGAAAGTTGGAATCATACACTTGGTAAAAAGTTTTGAAAAAATTATCGTAGATTATGTTGATATTATCATTAAAGTTAATATAACCCCAATCTATATGTGATAATTGTTCTCTGAAAGAATTTAAATTATTATTGTTGATAAGCCGTTTTTTTATTAATTGAATCTCAAAACCATTTTTAGACAAAACAATGTTATTTACACCCAATATACAATATATTTTGTGACTGGAAGAAAACATTTTTTAGCATAAAAATATCACAACGCAATTTTTTTAACATAAATATTTAACATAAATTAAAAAAAAACCATTG